TCGGGCGTCGGGCAGGCAACGACCACTACAGCTCCACTTTCAAGCCAACTAGACGCGGATGGAAACGTAGTGACTGACAAGGTTGAACAGTCCGCCTACTCGTGCCGCACACCATCTGGTTCACATTTCAGATGTTTCAGACCACAATAAGCGCTGCTCTGACCTCACATGGGTAGGCGTGACGTAAACGCCACATGCCGCAGTAGTCATTGCAGTTTGACCCCCAGTTCCAAGGAGGAGCAACTAATGTAGTCACTTGCCAGTCGTCTTCATGAATGTGTCGCTGGATGGAGCTATTAAAGTGCTTTGTGAACACCCATTACACACCTACGTGCATCTACGACAGCTAACTGAGCTACCATACTTTTCCACTACAAAGGTCTACTTCCTAATTATTGGACAGTCTTACGGGCGCATTGATGGTATGAATACGAGGCTTCCACTGAACCCAGTCCTGATGGATATTTTTGTGGCACGTCCTGGGCGGAACCTGTTTAAATGCCGAACAACCAACCGTATCTTCGAAAATATATAAACCTAAACTTATTTTTTTCTCGGTGGCGAATACTTCGAAAAACTGCGAGGTATCGCTTATGGCCATGAGTGAGTTGCACCTGGAGACCAAATTCAAGAGTAGGCACGTGGAAAACCGTGGATGTTATACCTTATTGGCGAGAAGACTAGTCTGTCCAATGAGTCCTTTCCCGACAAAATAATACGATAAGGCAACGCTTGTGTTTGGTGAACGTCGCATCCGTTCATAGGATATGTGTTATGATCTGCGCTTGGTACTTATAATTAGCACGAACAGTGAGCTAGCCCGATCGCTGTACCCAAGGCCCGTACGAGAGAGACGAGAGGACACGATCAGCTTATATCCACACAAAGCAAGTTAGAGCAAGTCATTGTCACACAGAGGCTAAGCGTATTAATGGTCCTCGCCGAGACACTGTCCAATCGGACGTGAACCAATCAGAATTGAGAACGCATCGCTAGCCAGGCAGGGGTAGTTGACGACTGCCTTTGCGTATGCTGACAAATCGTAGGAATAGACGCATTCCCAAAATTATGGAAATGCCTTTAAACAACGGGAGGTTCCCCTAACCAAGAATCTCAAAGATACAATTACGTGAGCAGTCGTTACTACGATGAGGCGTA